TAATGCACCGTCAATAAAGAAGGGTCCGATTAATCGTTCGCTTAAGGTACCGCACCAAACGTTTACCGACCAGGGACGCTGCAGCGCGCTGGTGCTCCACTTGGTGTCGAAATGGAAGGACGACATTTCGAACATTTGTTATAAATTGTTTTCAGAGCCGACTATTGTTGATTTAATGTTAATTTTTGTTTTTCAAACGTTTCAAATAATAGTCCGGTCAATCTAGACATTCGAAGGTACATAAATTTACAACAAGCTGAAAATCGGTAAAATTGTTCAGAATATAATTATAAATAAAATTTTAAAGTTCCCCATAATTCCCCTGTATGGAAAAATTTTTATTCAAGGTCAAAGGTCAAAAAAATAATTTTTCGCGATTTTCGGCAAAACGGTAAATTTTATCATAAAATACCCCAAACAAATATTGTAGATCATAAAATTATCTATAAAAAATGTATTAATACTTTTTTTTCTACGAGCCACCGTTTCTGAGATATAACGATTCGAAAAGTTGTAAAAGTTATAATCGTCATAATATGCACACGTTTCCACGCCATCTATTAGGTAGTATACTTAGCGCGTTTTTTAACGTGGTTTCCCCAGTAGCCTATTCCACGGGTCAGTTGTGATCCTGTTTAATTTGAAACTATTGCAAAATAACGGAAATTAGCAATGATTGGAAAAGATAAAAGCGATGTAAATTAAAAAAAAGAACTGAAGTTAATTAGTCTGATTCGTAACATTTAAATTCTTCTTCTTATTCTTCTACTTGTTCTTGTTCTTCTTCTTCTTGTTCTTGTTCTTCTTCATCTTCATCCTGGGTACAAGTAAATTGCGTCAGTAGCGATGTCACCTCGTTGGAATTAAATGAATCCTCCACTGTTTGTGATTCAACATTAGAGCACGACCGGCCTTGACAATTCGTACATACCAGAAAATAAAACAGTCCGACTTTTTTGCAACCACATTTAGCACTGCATCCCTTTTTGCAGTTGCAAAAAATTGTTTTCAGCATTTTTTCCGGCGCAGGTGGGAGTAAAGTTTGAACTGGTTCTAATGGGTTGTTGACCAACTTCCAACCCCAGTCTGTAGGGTCTAGCTGATAACCAAGCCACACTTGAACTTGGTAATATACCCGAAAAATATTTTGATGAGCAGCAACTGAGGTTGGAGGAAGACAAGCTAATTGAACTTATTTTTTATTTTAGTATTTTTAACGAAACATGCATATCGATACTTATCAAAGCAGGTAGTTTTTTTAGGAGCTCCGTATATAGAAAGAAGAAATCGAATGCCGTTGGTGATAACTTGTTGTCCCGAAGCACCTTTTCCTCGAGTTTGGCCGAAAAATCTCCGCTCGTTCGAAAGTTAAGCGAAAACAACGGAACGTGCCAAATTTGACGGAAAAATCGAAAAAAAGTGGACTTGGGCCTTTTCAACACCGGAAAATTTGGTCCGCGGATAGGTCTCGTGGGCAGAAAAAAAGGATGCAAATTTCGAGTGTCCGCCTTAAACGGACAACGGAAAAAATAAATATTGCAAACGGGCCGGATCCGCCGGAAACATTTCGATCCGTTTTTATTTTTTTCGAAAAAAAATTAAACGTTTTTTAGGGCGAGAGAAATTTTCGAAATTGGCCGAACGAAATACACGAATCATCAAATGAAAACTAATCGGCCAGAAGCCCGTTTAATTTTTGTTGTGTATTTAAATAAGTTAACCAATTAAAATCCCCGAAATCAAATCGATAAGGTGGCAAATGACAGGTGACAGATGACAGGTGACAGGTGACAGATGTCAAGTTGACAGATCATCTGTCATCTGTCACAGATGTTGTCTCGATGGCGTATAAATTAATTAATTTATACCCAGTCCCTTAAGGGACTGGGTTTTATTTCACTTGATATTCTTATAGTTATAACTTATGTAGGTATATTTTATATTTTAAGTGTAAGTGAAAATGACCGATAGAAAAATATATTAACATATATTAAAACTCTAGAGATGTTTATACGTGACGTACTCATGTATAATATTATTATGACGATTACAACTTTTACAACTTTTCGAATCGTTATATCTCAGAAACGGTGGCTCTTAGGAAAAAAAGTATTGATATATTTTTTATAGACAATTTTATGATCTACAATTTTTGTTAGAGATATTTTTGTGATAAAACTTCCCGTTTTGCTGAAAATCGCGAAAAACTAAATTTTTTGAACTTTGACCTTGAATAAAATTTTTTCCATACAGGGGAATGATGGGGAACTTTAAAATTTTATTTATAATTATATTATGAACAATTTTACTGATTTTCAGCCTGTTGTAAATTTATGTACCTTCACTGTTATTTTTTGGTCTAATTTGACCGGACTATAATACATTTTACAAGGAAACCCCTTTTTCTTAAATTTTGAATTACAGCGCCATCTGTTGATAAATTGAAAAAAACTTTCAAATAAAAGTTATTCATTTTTTTATGTACTACCAAACTCTGTGAAAAAAATCGGGTCATTTCATTTGACTTTCCAAAGTTACCCCCCGTTTCACCCTTAAGGAGGGGTAGGGGGTGGCTAGCGGTAGCACCAAATAATGTCCCCTTTGGTCACATTAACCTTTTATTTAGGACATTTTTCCGTGAAATGCGTATTTCTCGAGATATTGAGCTGTCTCAAGTTAAAAGAAACACCATGTATAATATATTATATATAATATTATTATATTATATTTTAGACCATTTTCTAAATTTTAAGGAAACATGTGCATGTTATATATGTATACACAGTTATATAAACTAATCGAATAAAGTTAAGCATATTAAGATATTTTGACCAAAACATAAATTTAACTATACAATTTTATACGCCCTGTATACTGTATTTTAATATTTGGTAATAAAAACATAAAAATGAAGCAATCTTGGACAAAAAATGAACGAAGTTGAAAAAACGCATAATAGGTATCGGTCTATGTTTAAATATTCAGTTTGATTTCAACTTTGTTCAAAATAGTATATTATGTATCAAGTTTTATAAACGCCATTTTAGTTACGAGTTTTATTAGGCACGAGCGAGTGTTTAATAAAAACGAGTGTCTAGAGAAGTTTATAAAACGACTTGCATGCTATACTTTATCTACGACGAACAGAAATAAGAATTTAAAGACAGTTTTATTTCATAAAATTTGACATTTAACAAATTTAACCTCACTTTTTCGCAATTTATAATAAAGCTAACTTCAGCCCTTGACTAAAATGCCCAAAAGCTACTGTTATTAACTTCAGCCCGTGACTAAAATGCCATAAAGTCACAACTCGTCAATGTAGGAGTATACATGTGCATGTTATGTAAACTAATCGATTAGTTTACATAAGATGCACATGTTTCCTTAAAAGTTAGAAATTGGTCTAAGGTATAATATAATAAAGATTCATAGAGTTAAAAGGTTCGCATTTGGCACTTAATTAAAACCTCTTTCTAATCAAAGCACACATCTTGTGAGTATGATGCATCGCCCACACGTTGTGTGGTCATTCTGCTGTCCACAATCGGTGGCCAATCTTCTGTAATCCGTATTGGTCATCCGCTGGCGTATTTTCTAATCTAATGCACCGTGAATAGAGAACGGGTGGCTGGTCGCATTCAATTGTCACGCGGTGGACAATGTCCGAATGCGAAGGACACGTCACCTGCCTCAATGCGTGGGCAGTCCTCCGGGGACGGGTTACCATACGCTCTTGTGGGAAGGGAACCTGGTCGGAGCTTTTTGTGGACAATATTAGCGGTCAATTTCAGCAAAGTAACGTAAACATTGACCACAATGCATGGGAATTGAGATGTTACAATACCCTTTTTTAAATTCTTAATTCCATGGAAAGGGGAAATTAGAAATAGGCACTTTGGTACTATTTATACACATTGCTAATTTCAGCAACACTTTTCATATTTTTTAAAAAATTTACGATTGGGTAAATGGTTATAAACCATTTAAGTTAAAAAAATACAACCTTTCATTATAACTTTATTATTCACAACTAGTTAACTTTTTAATAATAGGTGAGGTTTTATTAAAGATTGAATGATTTCGAATAGTATATTAATTGTATTACTGTTCTGCCTATCAATGTTTTTTTTTTGGTATATTAAATATAAAATTTTTATCCTAAAAGTGCCATATAATTTTTTGGTAAAAATTTGTAAAAACAAGATTGTATACTGCGAAAGTATTGTTTAAAAGGTTATAAATGCAGGTTTATTCAGGATATTTTCGATGATTTCAGCAGCCGAAATAAAAGATCTTGACAGAAGCTACCTACTTTCCGAAAAAACTTTTTTATACATATTTTATTGTATGAATTCCAAATGATTTAATGATGGCCAAAAACTCACAATGAAAAAAAAAAACGTTTTTCCTTAAGACGGAAAATAAATATCTTAAAATTTATACTATCTAGGTAAATTTACTAAAAAATAGATTTTTATAAAAATAATGGAAATAATAAAATGTATTTATAAATGTCAGTTTTATGCTATTTTATGTTACAGTCGTTTCATTATTAATCATTTAAATTTTATAACAAGATTTCCCCTATTTGAAAAATATATTCATTAAAAAAATTAAAATCTTGTTTAAAATCTGTTTTATTAAAGTATTGTTTTTACACAACTATAGTGGAATATGGTAGATTTTATTGTATTTAACTATTTATATTTAGTGTACAAATTATATGTCTATTAATTTATGTAAGTTCCTGACTTATGCACACAATTTTTATATTGTTTTAAGCATGAAATTTATTATAAAGTATTATTATTATTATCATAAGAGTATTAAATATTATAATCTTTGTTTTTATTTTACATATACCAACATAATTTTTTTTAACATTAAAATAAATGTAACTAAATTTGTAAAAATAACTGTTTCTTAATAAATTTGTCTTATATGATTTTTAACAAGTTACAGCCTTATTCATGATAATATTATTATTTTAATTTCAGAAAGAACAATGGCTTCTCTTCAACAAATGCACAGATCAGGCCCCCACCGTAAAATACGCAAAGCTCGTCAACCCCTCGATGGCAACCCTTTGATGAAAGGGGTAGTAATCAAAACCGTGATCAAAAAGCCGAAAAAGCCCAATTCAGCCAATAGGAAATGCGTGCTCGTTAGGCTGTCCAATGGAAAAGAAATGGTGTCGTATATTCCTGGTATTGGACATAATTTACAAGTAAGGATTATAATTTTTGTTTTGTTAAATTTAACGATGGTTTCTTTTTTAGGAACATAATATTGTATTATGTCGTGTTGGAAGAGTCCAAGATTGTCCTGGAGTTAAAATAAAATGTGTTAGAGGAAAATATGACTTAAGCCATGTTATTATTAATAGAAAATAATTGTTGTAATAAGAGTTGTAATAAATGTTAGTACCGTACCTATATATTTTTTTTCATAAACAATCTCTCATTTTTCACAAAAAATTTCATGTTGACATAATTCTAAAAAATAGTTAGCCCGATGACGTCATTATGCTATGGACTAAATGGACTTTAGTCTTTAGCTTGATGGCATGCCGCGGCAGTTTCAGTATTCAATTTTCAACGTAAGTATATTAAAATTATATTTTAATTATGGTATGATTATGATCATGATTGATTGCGTTATTAAAATGTTGTCCATGGGAGAATTACGTGTTGTTTGGTTCTTTTGAGTATTTTTACCTACTTGTCACTTGTCATAGTTTGGTCAGCCTTTACAAATATGCTTATTATAGAAGGGTTTTCGACATTAAACTTGGCAAACCATTCATGTTCTTTTGTGCAAAAAATATGATGGATGTCTGTGTCAACCGGCCAAGATAACTGTATACATATTTGACCAAAATTTTTAATCTCTATTGCAAATACATCTAAACCTTTTGACCCAAATAATGCGGAAACATCTGCCACTGTGAAAAAAGGGGTTTTTGTTTGGGTTCTACAGAAAATTTGTTACCGTAATAACTTTATGAAAAATGAACGGTACCTTCGCAAAATTTCAATTAGTTGCGTTCATGGTAAAATTTTAAACCTGTGAAATTTTTAGGATTATGATTTTTGAAAAGGTGCAAAATTATAGGTGTCTTAATTTTAATAATTTATCTAAAAGTGCTTTTTTGGTTTCTATAAAATATTACGAGCTACAAAATCTTAACAATTCTTTGGTGAATAATTTATTAAATTATAATTAAGGACCTTAATTTAAGGTGTCCTTCCTCACACATTTTATTTAATTTTATTGGGCAGTATTGCAAATATGTAATAGATTTAAATGAATTAATGTTTAAAACATTTATTAAATATTTATGTTAAATATTAGACATAATTTTATGAAATTTTTTACAACCAAATGGAATAAATTCGATAAAACATAAATGGGGGCGTGCTCCAAAAAACGCTCGGACAAGTCGATTGTTATTTTTAGTTGCGCATTTTTTTTAACAAAAACTTTTTGTACAGGGTGTGTCATGTAGCAGTGGCCAATACCAACTTTCTTATTTCAAATGCAACACCCTGTATATTATTTAATTTTTGGATTCTTCAGAAAATTGTAGATATATTTTATGTACAATCTCCTATACCTATATTTAACTGTTTCGAAAATATTAAAGCGGACCTGAAAATTATTTATCTACAGAGGCCTTAAATAGTTTCTTTATTATATCTGGTCACCTGAAACCAATAATTATGATTGTTTTAAAATACTTTTTTATAACTAAAATTTATTTGTGTTAATTTAATGCCTTCGGATTATTCTAATTTAGGTTATTGTTTGCAAGTTGTATTCTTACATTATAATAATTTTAGTATTCAGTTATAAACAGTATAATGTTTAATGTCCAGATTCAGACAACGCAGGGATAATGAGATAAGTAATATGTTGGAAAGAGACGGGGATAAAAGGTAAAGATTATTTAAGTTTCTCTTTAGTTTTGGCCACTATGCCTCTACATTATAGTGATCACAACGTGGCATAAACATGTCTGTATACGATCCAAGAATTTTGTTGGAACGTAACTGACACTAAAAAAGTGTTTCCCATTTTTAAATTAATTTCGCGTAATAGAACCATTTCTACCATGTTGTACTGATTTTAGCAATACATTTTACAGTTATAAGTATGTGGCCATTCCATCCACTAAAAATTCTACTTGGGCAGAAAGTTCAACGAGGGGGTCGAGGAAAGGAGGATGACAAGAAAGGGGAAGAACAGTATTATTAATGAACACATTTAATACCTATGTAATAATATTTAAAATACAGGGTGTTCCGAAATTAGTGCACCATACTTTAACAGCAGATTCTACGTGCAAAAATAAGAAAAAAGTCCCTATAAATATAGTTCGAGAAATGCCTCCTAAGGGAGCTACAGCCCCCGAAAAGGGAGCCCCTGAAGATGGTTTTTATCTAATATAAATAAAAAAGTAGAAACACCCTGTCACTTACTACATGAAACTGTCACCTGTCTTAAATTATTCTTTTTTTTCCTAAACATGGCAGCCGTATTCCAAGGACCACGCGAGTCCATTTCTATGGTTGTGATTTAATTGTGAATTTTTATGCCATGTAAAATAATTTTCAAATCGATTTTATGCGAAAACGGTGTATGTTGTCGAAGTTTAACAAGATGACCTTTTTTATGTGCAAAACTCTAAAATTTCATAATCTGACACCAAATTCTGGTACAATTGTCTTAAGATACGTACAAAAAAGTTAAGGTGGTTTTAACCCTACTTCCTATCAATCTGACCCAAACCTCATACAAAAATTTAAATTGTTATTGTTACGTCTTATTGGTCAAAAAAAGTTTAATTAATTCCCAAAATTTCACTTTTATATCTTTAATGGTTTTGGAGATATTAAATAAAAACCATCTTCAGGGGCTTTCCTTTTGGGGGATGTATCTCCCTTAAGAGGCATTTCTTGACCTATGTTTATAGGGACTTTTTTTCTTATTTTTGCACGTACAATCTGCTGTTAAAGTATGGTGCACTAATTTCAGGACACCCTGTATATATAATAATATATTATCTTATGAGGTTTTCGTTATTTTATACGTGTAAATTATTATTTATTATACATTGTGTCCCGAAAATGGCGCACTAACGCCATACTACGCTGTAAGGGGGTTATTTCCAGTATAAAAAAATTACAAAAAAACTTTCCGACGAGTTATTCAGAATTAAATTTTAATTCTGCAACGTAGTGTTTTAACCAAAAAAATATTAATAGAGTGGACACGTAATGCCCATTGTCGTGTATTGTTAGTAAAGGCCATGCCATGTTTGAACTTTACTGTGATTGTCAACTTATAAGTTGGTATTGTGTGTTCTTGCTTAAAAATAATTTGGTTTTAATATTAAAATACAACGGTGGTTTATATTATGCAATAGGCGTAGAAAAATCTATTTATTTTAATTAGTATCTGGTAAAACAGTTCTTAAACAAACAGAAATGACTTTTATGTTCAATTCAGAATGATATTTTTTATAATTAAATTATGCATGAAACTGTTCTCATGTGAGTTCAAACTTTTCAAAATTGACAACGATCGGATTACTCTCTTTCATTGTCTATGCTGCATAGACTAAGAATATCATGGATATGTATATCACACATCTAAAAACGGTTTTTATTGAAACAAAATAAACCATTCAGCTATAGAGAGTTTAAGTTAACATGGTTAACAGATGTATTTACCAATATAAAACTTTAAATCATCAGAACAATCATTATTAATAAAGATAAACATTTTATTTCTGAAACATCTTTAGAAAATTGTTTTCTACCCTTTTATATAAAAGATAGTCTCCACAAATCAAAATAATTAAAATAAAATTTAATTTTGAAACCCTTATATGCTAAATAGGTAAGCATCGGGTTTTCGCAACGCGCGCCATCTGGTCTCGCTCGATTATTGAGCTACAAGGTTTGTGAACAATGCATTTAAAGCATACGAACTGCACATCATTTAAAAAGAGATAAAGGCAGAAGTCCTACTATACAAGATTTGTTCATAAAGTTTCAATTTCACAGCTAAATCGTGCATGTTATTTGTGTTTCGCGTTGCAATTCAAAAAATCTAACAAAAAATAATAGTTGTACAAACATAACCTTAAAATCAAACATTTTTATATTTGAGTCCTCTAAAAAAAGACTGTCGGCTTCATTTTAAAATAGTAAACGACAAAATACTATATGCACGAATTCATGGCAACATAATATTATATACAGGGTCCGGCATCAGAATTGAACCGTTTTGAAAAGGCTGCTATGGAAATACTATTGATTTGGTATATGTCAAATAGTGACAGACTAATACCTTATTGCCGAAGGTTTCGTGTGCAATATCAAACTGGCCGGTTAATCGACGGATCTTTGCTGTAAATTCGTTTACCCTGACCCAGTCCTTCGTATACAAACGCAGAGACGCTTTCGTCGTGAATATAATTTTGTGCGAGCTGAAGTCCCATAAAAAAATGCCATTTTGAGATAGGTAAGAGATTTTAACGAAAAAGGCAGTGTAAAATCAAAATTTGCCGCTGGAACTCCTACAGTTTGTACACAAGAAAATATTGGAAGAGTCAGAGAAGCGTTTGAGCGGCACTCGATTGCTCTACACATTTCAGACCGAAGTTTGCGACGAATGTTACATCTGGATTTAAAACTCCATCCAAAAACCGACAGTCCAGAGGCTAAATCCCATTGATAATGTTAATCGACTCAATTTTTGCACACAATTTTGAATTGCCATTGTACACGAAACTTTCTGCAATAAGGAACAAGTCTGTCACTATTTGAAATATATTAAATCAATATGTAGTATTTCCATAGCAGCCACGAAACTTTCGGCAATAAGGTACAAGTCTGTCACTATTTGACATATAGCAAATCAAGAGTATTTCCATAGCAGCATTTTTAAAACCGTTCAATTACCATTAAGTGGAGACTTTCTCAATCAACACTTTTAATAATGAATAACGCTGTTTGAATTGAAATGTTTCCAATTTTTACGTTAATCATTACTAAAATATGTATTTATTGTATCTCTTTCGGATTTCCTTTGTTTATTTTGAAACCGGTAAAAAATCAACCCAGGATTTCCTCTCGAAAAACACCCAATAACACAAAAAATTGTTCCACGTTTTTTTCTCGATATTTTTAACATTTTCCGGCCTTAAAAGTTGTAGTTTTGTTACGAAGATAACGGCAACGTGGTAGCGCTACTGACAATTCTTTTTAAGCGTAATTTTTAATAACTTATCCCCCATACGAATATTAACTATGTATATCTGACTATTCCACTCATTACTTTTTGGACCAATCAGATTTCAGAAAACGAGTGGTTTTTTCAGTTTTGCAGCGATAAAACTACTATTCAGGTGAAAA